AAGAAAAAAAAAAAAAACAAAGAAAGAAAGAAAGAAAGAAAGAAAGAAAGAAAGAAAGAAAGAAAGAAAGAAAGAAAGAAAGAAAGAAAGAAAGAAAAGAAAGCCATCATCGGCCAGGTAGTGGTGGCGCACGCCTTTAATCCCAGCTCTCGGGAGGCAGAGCCAGGCGGATCTGTGAGTTCGAGGCCAGCCCGGGCTACAGAGCGAGATCCAGGACAGGCTCCAAAACTACACAGAGAAACAACGTCTCGAAAAAACAAAACCAAACAAAAAGCCATTGTCTCAGACACCCTCCCTTTCTGAGATCAGACACCTTCTCGTGAAAGGGGGAGGGTGGGGAGGGAGAGGGACCCAGTATCTCTTTAATTTTATTCAATGCTAGGGATCAAACTCAGGGTCCACCCGTGTTAACCACAACCTCTGCCACTGAGTTACCCCCAGCCCTGGCATCATCCTGGGGGGCCCTGTTCCCGTGACCCCACCTAACCTTAATTACCTGCCAAACCCTCTGACTTCAAACACTATCATAGCGGGCTGGGGCCTCAAATAGGACACAGTCCAGCCCATCGTGCCGTCCAGTGAGAAGAAAACATCCAGTGAATAACCCCACGCTCAGATCTATGACTGTGAGCTACGTTCGCTGCCAGGAAGGCAAAGTGCAGGGGGAAATCGCCACAGAACCCTCACTCACGGAAAGGGAAACGTACACATGGCCCTGCGACTTCTGGGCTCGGCGGAAGAACCTCTGCCCCCTAGCCTTCAAAAACAATAGAGCCATGGATTGCTAGCATCAGCAAAACCGAAAAAAAAAATCACTGCTCGCCCTGGAGGGGAGGGGCCAAGCCTCAATAGCAGACAGTAAGTAAGTGAATAAATAAATAAAGAAAACAAACCACCGCTTGCCCTCACTGTCCTGCCCCCAGGTTTGTGTGTGTGTGTGTGTGTGTGTGTATGTGTGTGTGTGTGTGTGTGTGCATGCCTAAGCACATGGGAATTGGAGGAGAGGTGAGGCCAGATAGACACAAGGCGGGGTTGGGCTGGGGGGTGGAGGGGATGGCAGAGAAAGCCTCCAGGGTCTCCCCCGCAGAACTGAGTTGGGGGACAGTTGCTGGGCTGACTGATGGGACACCATTGCCAGAGCAGAAGAGCTCCCCAGAAGCCTGGCGTGGCTTCCTCTCCCGACAGCCAAAAAAACACAGGTGTCTTAAGAGAAGAAAGTGCAGCAGACAGAAGAGAGAGCTGAGTGAGCAGGAAACCCTTTGCCCCGGAAGCCCCGCCCAGCCATTCAGAGCGGGCCGGACTGGACTGGCTTGCACTTCCTCTGGGTTGCCAGGTGACCGCGAAGCTTCCCGGGCTGGCTCACTGGCCGGGAGAGGGGAGCGCTTTCATTTCCTGTGGCCAGGTGGCCTCCTCAGCCCTGACTTTGAAGGCTGGCAGTCCCTCGCCTTCGTCCAGGGCCCGCAGCATGCCATTGTGAAGCGGAGAGCGTGATGAAGCTTAAGGACCCTTTTATTTATTATTTATTTGTTTTTTCTTTCTGAGACAGGGTCTCAAGTGTCCGCGGCTGCCCTCGAACTCCCCACATCACTAAGAATGAGCTTGAACTTCCGATCCGACTGCATTCCCCTCACCAGTGCTAGGATTACAGACTTGTGCCACCCTGTCTGTTTTATCCAGTGCTGGGGATAGAGCCCAAGGCAGACACTGGGTCAGCTGAATTACAGTCCAGGTCCATGCTGTTGTTCTTTGACACAGGGTTTCTTGGTAGCCCTGGCTGTCCTGGATCTCCCTCTGTAGACCAGGCTGGCCTCGAACTCACAGAGATCCACCTGCCTCGGCCTCCGGAGTGCTGGGATTAAAGGCGTGCGCCACCGCCGGCCCGGCTAAGGCATCGGATTCTCTGGGATTTTATTTACAGGCTGTTGTGAACCATCTGTCATGGTTGCTGGGAACTGAACCCAGGTCCTTCGGGAGAGTAGTGCATGCTCTTACCGCTGAGCCATCTCTCCGGCCCTCACACTGTTGTTCTCAAGGCCGTCTCCAGGCCCACTTCCACAGTGGGTTCAATCCGGAAGCCCAGTGTTCAAATGCCATCCGCTTCACACCCACTTTGCTCCCCCTTTCCCGTGCAGGCTCCCGGTGATGGGGCGGCTGCTGCCGAACTTGAGAATCCCCTTACCGATTTGGTCATTAATTAAGGACTCCCCTTAGTGCTGTGGCTAACCCTCAGCGGGTGCACACTGACATACGCCGTTCTGTCGTCCAAAAGTCTCTTGAGGGACAAATGTTTACATGCGTCAGGAAGAACGCTTCCAGATGATGTCATTGTGATGTTTCCTGAAAGCATCTCATTGGTGGGTTTCTAAGGAGTTGGGACACAGTCAGAGCTTAAAGCATGAAACCTTCAGCGAGGTCTTCTAAATGCTTATTTCTTATCTTTAAATTTTGGTAAGGTCTCATGTAGCCTAACCCAGCCTCTTATTCACTACGTGGCTGAAGATGACCTTGAACTTCTGACCACCCCGCCTCCTCCTCCGGCAGCTGGGATGACTGGCGCACACCACTGTGCTCAGTTCGTGTGATGCTGGGGTTTGAATGAAAGGCTCCGTGCACACTGGGCAAGAACTCTACCCACTAAGCTACATGCCCGGGCTTAGAAGTACATTCTTTCTAACCTGGCCCCTCGGTGGCCAGATGTCTTGAGACCCCAGGGTTAAGAGCCACTTCCAGTTCATGCTCTGAGGCAGAAGAGCCCGCTTCACGTGACTGTGACGGACCTGGCTGAGAAGGCAGGAGCTTTGCTCGTTCTGCGCCACACAAGAGCCCTGTGAGAGATGCCACAGCTGGCGCGTATTCTAAGGCAGGGCGGGCAGAGTTTTGGGAAGGCTGTTCATATACCGGAGGGAGCGGCGGGGGCAGGGGCGGGGGCGGGGGGCAGCTAAGGGGCTCTCAGAAGGACAAACTTCCCCTTTGTTTCTAGCTTCTAGTCGGCAAGTTAAGCCAGCTACACCCATGGTGGCTGGACAAAGAAAGAGGCCAGTAGGAGAAGAGATGAAAATTCAAACACCAATTCAGAGACCGCCTTCTCAGATCGCACGGTGGAAGGAAGAATTCATAAACCAGAAATGAGGTCGAGAATGGCGTTGAGTTCAGGCCTGTTTTGTCCTTCGATATTACCATCATGCCCAGATGAGAAACACAAAGAGGAGGGCTGAGCCAAAACATCTGTCCTCCCCACTGCGAGAACCACTGAACATCGGTTTTAGGATAGCGCTGAATAAGCCTGCCCAGGGAAGAAATACGTGTGTAAGCAGCTCTGTCCATGCTTTAATTAAACCGGCCATCTGTAAAGACGCAGTCTCTGCTTGGGGTTTTTGGTTTCAAAGGAAAGACGAAGTCCCGAAAGCTCTCCTCCCCAACTGATGCACTTTGTGGGCCAAAGGCAGAGAGTGCCGGAGACAAATTAGAAACAGCCATGACCAGAGTCGGAACGAGCCCCGGCGATTGGGAGACCTACGGTGTAAGTGGAGGAAAGTCAAATGTGGTGTGTGTAAACCTGTGTTTTTAAATTTTTAATGTGAATTAAATTTGTGTGCGTGTGCATGTGCCTGTGTGTGTGTGTGCATGTGTGTGCATGTGTGTATGTGTGTGCGTGTGCGTGTGTGCATATGTGTATGTGCATGTGTGTGTGGTGTGTGTGGTATGTGTGTATGCATGTGTGTGCGTGTATGTGTGTGGTGTGTGCATGTGTGTGTGGTGTGTGTGGTATGTGTGTATATGCACGTGTGTGCGTGTATGTGTGTGTGTTTGTGTGTGTGTTTTTGTGTGTGTGTGCGCGCGCATGTGCGCGTGCACAAATGTGTGGGTGTGCTTGCAAAGGTCAGAGGATAACTTGTAGGAAGTCGGTTCTCTGCTTTCACCCTGTGGGTCCCAGGGATCAAAGTCACGTAAGAAGACTTGGCAGCAGGCAGCGTCAGCCACGGAGCCACCTTGCCTGCCCTAGACCCTGAGTTTTTAATGTAAAGATTATCCCTTGAAGATGTGAGCTGTTTGGAAAGACCCAGAAACACAATTTCATGCAAGGAACAATGGTCTTCAATGTATTCCTAGGTAAGTCCACAGATTTCCATCTGGCACACTCTGTGAAGCACCTTTAGGGCTGGCCACACGGCTCAGTGAGTCACGGCGCTTGCTGCCAAGGTGACAGCCGAAGGTCAAAGCCTGGGACCCACATGGAAGGAAAGCCAACTCTCTAAAGTCAGGACACGCATGCGCACACATAGACATGTGCAACACACACACACACAAGTACAACATAATAAAAATTTCTTTCTTCCTTTTCTTTCTCTTTCTTTCTTTCTTTCTTTCTTTCTTTCTTTCTTTCTTTCTTTCTTTCTTTCTTTCTTTTTTTTTATAAATAGAGACAGGGTTTCTCTGTGTAGCTTTGCGCCTTTCCTGGAACTCACTTGGTAGCCCAGGCTGGCCTCGAACTCACAGAGATCTGCCTGCCTCTGCCTCCCGAGTGCTGGGATGAAAGGCGTGTGCCGCCGCCCGGCCGGCAATAAAAATTTCTTGTTACCTGTAGCCACTCTGAGACCCCTGAGTCTCTGCCCTGAGAATGAACAACGCTGGGATGGAAGAACTGGCCGTGATGCTGGGTGGAGACCTCTGCAGCCAGATGGGGAAGGGCCAGCCCTGCACACCGCACTGCATGGGCACAGTTGTGCATTGCGCAATGCAGCAGGCTGGAGGCCAAGCAGGGGCTAGAATCCAGCCAAGCTGAGCCCCCAGGGCAGGCCTGTGTCTGCCAGAGGGGGAGCCTTGCTACACCCTTGCTGAGAGCCGGACCTCACAGAGCACTGGAGGCTGCCCTGGCACCAGCAAAGGACGGGAGGGGCAGAGAGAGAGAGAGAGAGAGAGAGAGAGAGAGAGAGAGAGAGAGAGAGAGAGAGAAGCTGCCGTTTTATACGTAACTGCGCATCTGGGTCACTGGGTCCGCATTCCACGGCACGCGACCTTGTCTTAGCAAAAACCCTCTTGTGGGAGCAAAGCTCAGGCCTCACCAGCTCTCCCCCTGACTCATTCTGAGACTTCCTAGTCAACGGCGCAGCTACTTCGGGGGCCGAATGTCTGGGTGCTCATGCTAACGGAAGGGAGACTACAAGACTCAGAGTTTTCAGGAGAATGAACCCCTAAATGGACGGATGAGTGTGTCCGCTGCCCCTGTCCTGGGGACAGGCAGGAAATGAGTAAGGCCAAACCTCACCAAGCTGTGAGGGGAAGCGGCTACGGAAAGCCGCCCTGTGTCACTCTGAATGGGCACGAATGATTCTCTCAGGGCCCTCTGAGGTGATGGAGAGAAGGAAAGCAAGCAAGGAGTTAAGAACGGCACATTTCGCCTGGCGTAGCGGTGGTGGCGTACGCCTTTGACCCCAGCACTCGGGAGGCAGAGGTCAGTGGATCTCTGTGAGTTTGAGGCCAGCCTGGGCTACAGAGCCAGCGCCAGGACAGCCAGGACACATTGTATGCAATACCTATTTTATACCCCTCCCCCCCCCACGATTTTGGAACAGACACAGACACCGACGTGTAGACCACACGCCCATGTACGTGCACGCGACTGAGGGAAAGGCAAGAGAAATTATACAGTGACGCTCTCTCAGCAGTCTGTTTCATTCTGCCCAGGAATTCTGCCCTCCTGGTGAGCAGCTGCCTCTCTGGGGCGGAAGGCAGGAGGAGAGGCCTCCATGGCAGCCTCTGAAGCCCTTGGCCTTTGGAGACCCTTCTCCCAAGCTAATAGCGCCATCAAGGACTCAGTGAGTCTGAGCTGCGGCTTGGTATGTCCTAAGTCCGTGAGTTTGAACTTCAAGTCCATGTTGTGGTAATGTTGGGGAGGTCTCGGTAGGAGGGGTCTGGGTCCTTTACACACGCCCACTTGCCCATCTGTCTGCCTTCTATTGTGTGTGACGCAGCCTGAGACCCACGACAGATACGGACATCCAGTGTTGTTTTTCCAGCAGCCAGATCCAGGAGTTAAAGTTCTTTTCTTTAGACATTATCTTATCTTAGATAATCTGCCATAGCCACAGAACATGGATTGAGATCCTTTCCAGCAATGGCATTTTATAGCTGCAGGTCCCGACACTGGCTATTACTGAGGACTGGTTAACCATTACAGAGATGTCTCAAGTCCCACTCTTCAGGAGGTGGCCCAATGGGCCGGAGCGGTCACGGGGAAAGCGAGGCTCCTTTCACATTACAACATGGAGAAAACTCTTAGCTCCACTCAGTGTGTGGAGAATGGCTAGGCCTGGCAGACTTAGGAGATGAGGGCTGTTACCTGGTCACAAAGAAAGGGAGGCTGGAGGACGGGCGGTGGTGGCGCACGCCTTTAATCCCAGCACTCGGGAGGCAGAGCCAGGTGGATCTCTGTGAGTTCGAGGCCAGCCTGGGCTACCAAGTGAGTTCCAGGAAAGGCGCAAAGCTACATAGAGAAACCCTGTCTCGAAAAAAAAAAAAAAAAAAAGAAAGAAAGAAAGGGAGCCTGGGGGTGTGTGTAGTGCAGAGTTGGGGGGTGGAGAGTCTGCCTGTCACCGACTCTCCACCCAGGAAATGGTGGCTTGTGGTCCCTGGCGGGTCATTCTGGCCACATCTCTGTATCTGCTCCTATCCAGTCCCAGCTGGGACCGATGAAGGCAGGACCAGGAGTCATTCTCTCAGGTTTAAGTCAGATGTCTTAACCCAGGTTCCGCCCCGGGGGGACTTACTGCCCTCACCAGGCGCCTGTCTCCGAGCTGCGCCTCTACAGCAGGTCTCCTCCTCTACCCAGGCCTCCCTCTTTGAAATCCATCTGCTCAACAGTTGCAAGGCCCCAGCTGCTGCCCCACCCCTGCAGGCGGGGGCGGGGAGGGAATCCATTATCCCGACCTTGGCCGCTGCAACCTGTGCCCCAACCACGCCGCCGCCGCCGAAGCCGCACTTAATGTGGACCTAAGCACCCCGACAACTGCCTTTTGCCCTCGGTCCCCACCTGGCAACGCGATAAACACGGTCTCAGCTATCGGGAGTCTAGGAACCCCGCCCCTCTGGAGGATAGGGGCCAGCATGCATGGCGACTCCCATTACAGACGCCGTGGGCGCAAGTGAATGTTCATCTGCGCCTTATCTTTTAACATCTAAAGATTACCGTTCACGTGTGGATTTGTTTGGTTTGTGTGTATATACGGGCACAGGCTGCAGTATCGGGGTGGAGGTCGCAGGACAGACTTGTGGGGGTTCTGTTCTCTCCGTCCACTACGTAGCACCAGGGACTGAATTCGTTGCCAGCCGTGGCAGCAATTGCCCTAACCGGCTGAGCCATTTCACCAGCCCAACTGGACTTTGGCTATTTAATTAATTAATTAACCAAGCAATTAATTGGTTAATTAATTAATTAAGTGGGGACTCACTATGTAGCTCTGGCTGTCCTGGAACTCATTATGTAGACCAGGCTGGCCTGGGCTATGATGACTGGCCCAGGACTTTAACAGTATGCTTTTCACACGGTAGCCTGTGGTCTCCTCGCCTCGGTCTGACACTTCGGGAGTGTCGCGGGTGGAACCCTCCAGTCATATCAGTTTCTAGAACTCTCAAGGTGGCTAATTGAGGATGTCTTCACTGCTGGCTTGGCCCCCTTCCAGCCTGTGTTTTTGATAATTTCAGCAATAAGCCTGGTGACCGGACCCTTGGTGGGGACTCTAGCTCCTTCGGGACCCTGCCAGGACCCTGTGTCTGACTTCCTAAGTGGCCGCTGGGTGGCTGGCTTTACTGGACCCTGAGTTTGGAGGCCACTGGCTTCGCTTCCAATAAGCTTTGTCCTGGAATGTGCTCCTTGGATGCTTTGCCACAGTGCCAACGTCAATGGATTAAATGATAAAATACAAAAATGTGAAGCAAGGAATGGTCCACATTCTTCAGAGGAAAAGGCAGAAATGTCTAGGATGGCAAGCATTCTTACAAAAGCTTTCGTCATCTATATTCTGAACGTGGAGTTCCAGGATGCCTCACCACCACCCCTCCCCACAACTGATGGTTGAGTTTAATCTCCAAAATCATAGGTTGATAGTCTAAATAAGGAAACTTAACCCCCTAACTACTGAGTTCAAAGGTGGGGCCTTTGAAAAGCGATTCAACTACGTTAAGTCCTTCTGACCCATTCCTGATGGCCTCTGAGGGAGAAGGTGTATTATCAGACAGATGCCGAGACAGACATGCGTTCCTGCCACGATGTGACAAGTCAAGGGGGCTGTGGCCATTTGTGCCTTCTGGATCCAAAGTTGTAGGTTAAATAGACTTCCATTCTCCATGTAGCC